TATATGATAAGAATAGCCAACTTGTATATTTTTTGCATATCTCATATAAATAAATATGTAAAGAAATGTTAAAGAAAATGTGTTTAATAATTTACGTAGAAATATTATTAGGCACTAAGTCCAACCTCGACTGTGTATTTGGGGCTCATTAATTAATTAACATAAATGTATAAAAATACACATATTTTCAGTTAAAAATCTCTCAAGTAGAGCTCTGTCTATTACTTTAATAACTTCGAAGATTTATAAGCTTCAAAAGAATTCAAATTTTCAAAGTTAAATTCGAGAGTTCGAAGTTTAAGGTCTTCGAAACTTTGAAAAATATATTTATGTGAACAGAAAAAAATAAAAATACAATCATTATATATATATATATATATATATATATATATATATTTGTAAATATAATTATATATCTTTTTATAAAAATATATTCATTTATTGACTGTACTATTAATTATATTAAATTAATACTTGCACAATTTTAATTTTTCGAAACTTCGAAAACTCGAAGCTTGAAGCCTTCCAAGCAAATGGCCATATATTCTCGTTATTCCACATTTTATGAAAGATACTCTATATGAGCAATGTTTGACTCGAAATGGTCGTAACTATTAGCGGTGTGCTGAATAGTTTTGTTGGAAAATTAATTGAGAGTCGCAAAACACTACGTTGCAGACCGGCGTAAATGAGAAGAAAATTCCACAAACTTGTTCACTACAGAAGTGGCGAACCCTCAGGCGAGTTCCGTGGTTGATCTGAGGGTTTCCTGTATGCACAATATTATTATCAACGCGGACTATTTATTATCAAAAATATGTACGGTATTGAAAATGGCAATTCTATATATTGTATATACAAATATTGTTAATAAATTTTGAACATCTTGAAATGATCTTACAAAATCTTGTTATAAAAATATTAAAGTAGATAGATCAACATACGATTATTTAATGAAAACAATCATTATATCATTATATATTGGGATAAGGAAAAGTCTTTCATATAGTCAATAGATGGAGATCTTTGATCGATTTTTAACTATTGTGTGACATATTAGGTTATACATCCTTGAAAAAATGCTGTTTCATATAATATTTTGAAATAAATTGATCCTAGATTTGAATGATACTGACGCATTCGATCAAATTTGAAAATAAGTGAAAATTAGGAACATTTTCGACACATTTTACTTTTTATTATAAAAAATAGAAGAACGCTGCGCAAACTCAGAAAAAAATTTGTTGTATTTGTAGAGAGAATGCTCTAACTATTATAGACTCTAACTATTATAAACAGCAGCGAATTGGTTTCACCAAATTCGAAATGGAAATTTCAATGTTAAAGATGCACATCGTTATGATCGGCCTATTATGGAAAATGTCGACAAAATCTTTTAAAAAATTGAAGAAAATCGTCATGTGAGCAGCTATGACATAACTAGGAACATAACTAAGGAACTATACATTGATCATAAAACAGTTTTGGGGCACTTGCGTAAAGTTGGATACAAAAAAGTTCGATGTTTGAATGCTACATGATTTAATAGTAAAAAATTTAATGAATCGAATTTCCATTTGCAAATTGCTGCTGAAACAAAACGAAATTGAACTTTTTTCGAAAAGATTGATAACGGATGATGAAAAGTAGGACACATATGATAATAATGTTCGAAAAGGATCGTAATTGAAACGAAGTGAGGCACCACAAACAATCGCAAAGCTCAGATTGGTGATGCTGTGTACCTTGTGAGACTAGAAAGGAGTCGTCCATTATGAACTGCTGCCGCCAGGTAAAACGATTGTGTCTGATCTCTAGTGTAAACAACTAATGCGATTGGAGCAATTCATTCAGGAAAAGCGGCCAGAATTGATTAATAAAAAAGGCGTTATCTTGCATCATGACAACGCTAGGCCACATCTCTGGTGAAACAAAAATTGGGAAAACTTGACTGGGAAGGTTTGATGCATCCACCGTAATTCTAACTTTGCATCCGATTGTCATTTGTTTTGGTCTTTGTAGAGCTTCCTTAATAAAGTAAACTTGAATTTAAAAGAGGCCTGTGATAATCACTTATCTCGATTTTTTACCGAGAAATCATAGAAGTTTTACACCGATGGAATAATGACTTTACCCGAAAAATGGTTATCGACCAAAATGGCATATATTTGATTTAATAAAAAAATTTGTAAACTTATTTTTAAAAAAATATGTTTTAATTATGCTTCAACTTGTAACAAGACTTTTTCCTTAATCCAATACATAAAGTATCTTTCATTAAGTGCGAACTTTTACTATTATTTTATTTTGTAATAATAAAATTTGTTACGTTTTTGTAACATTTGTATAAAATAAAATATTGCAACGATGATAATGCATGTACTACTCGTTTTTATTTTTCGTTTACATAATACTCTATTATCGATAGACAACAGAGATATACTTGAATACAGTATTAATAAATAAGCACTTAAAAACGAATTTTCATTTTTGGGAAAAATCTATCGAATTTATATTTGATGGATCCAAATTATCCAAATTTTTATTGCATCACAATTAGCGTAAAAATAACAATGAAACAATTGTTACGTATGTAATTGCACGACGATTAACAGAAAAAGATTCCAAGTTTTTTATCCACTTACTTTAACTATACAATATTAACCGTACAAAAATAGCGACCGACTAAAATTTTCATCTGGATTCAAATGACTCATTCATATAGTTGAGGGTTAATATTCAATGTTTTTGTCATAAGAGAAAAAGAGAGAAAGAGAGAGAGAGAGACTTATTCCTAAATTCAAAAAAATTTCATAAATAATCATAATAAGAAACTTTATTCATAAATGGGTAATTTCACAATAAATTTATTACAGTTTTTTTAAGATTTTTGAGAGGATTATTAATATTTCAAATGGATTGCGTTGAAAGTCCGACAGTAACGATACGCAATCATATTTCTAAAATAAGTTAATTTAAATTAAGAATACATACATGTATTCGACATCTAACTTTGACTGTTAAATGGTTCTTCTCATATTTAGATGTACTCATCATATAATGTATAAAACGGTCTTAATGCAAATCTTATTAATGTTTATTCATAAATGATTTACTTATTAAAATTCTTAAAAGAATAAAAGAAATTAGTAATTTAATAAAATCATTGACATGAAGGATAATAGAAATAAAATTATTTTAAAAGAAAAAAATCGAAAAAAATATGATAAGGAAAAAATCGAAAAAAACGGTTTTTCCCCAAAATTTCCGAGAATTTATTCGGACCAAGAACACTAATAGACAATCATTAAACTGCATTCGAGGAACACACTATCAGCACTATTATGTTATTTTGTATTTATTGTTTATCAAACGTAAAACAAGGATAGAACGACGTAATAGTCCTGATAATGCGTCCTTCGAACGCAGATTATAGTTATTGTCTATCGATAAGATGCTCATTATTATGTATACAAAAAGAAGTATAGAACCGATGGGTATATAAGCATTGACAGAAACGAATATTGACGTGCATTTTCATCATTGTGCGCAAGATATAAAACAGCCGACCTACGTTCATTACAAGGAACAATTGCTTTTTTATAGTTTTTGTCAGCAAAGCATTTGATACGATACACGTTATACGGTGCAAGCCATTACATTTACGAAAGTTACTTATTACAATAAACGCGCCCTGACCATGGAGTTTTGTTGGAAATTCTACAAGAATATAAAAAAATGTACAAGTAAAAAATGTAAAAGTTAAAATTAGTATTAATTAAATTAATGAAACATTTACGACTACCATTTCTAACATTTTAATGATAATACAGCAAATATACATATATATATAAAGAATAATGCATTAAACATTAAAAATATACATATTTGTTGCATTAGAGAACATTTCCTTTATATTATATTTTGTATGTATAAACATTAATATTATGTTAGTAAAATTGAAATAATTTACATTTATATAAGACAATATCTTGTAAAATTTTGACTATGCAGGATATCGCTATTGTAGATTAACGAATCAGAATTTGTAGATATATACTTTTAAATTAATTTTTTATTAGTAAATTTATTCTGATATATATTCTTTTTTTCCAACATCATAAAATTTAATAATTAAATTATATATGTATAAAATTTTATTTAAAATATCTATCATTAAAGAGATGTTGAAAGACGAAGATTTTGGAAAAATAGAGCAAGAGAGAGAGAGAGAGAGAGAGAGAGAGAGAGAGAGAGAAAAAAGAAATCCAGAAAAAACATACGGAAAATTGGTCTTGGCTAATTTGATTGAATTTGTAATATATTGTAGTTCTGATCGTCCTGACCAAAAGTCTCCATGGGCACAAAGTAAAATAATGAACAGTTTTTCAGTTATTGATGTTATTGTACATCAAACTTTGTAAAATCGCTGTTTTAGCAGAGTTTGATGTACAATAATTCAAAAACTGTTTATTATTTTACTTTGTGCCTATAGAGACTTGGTCAGGACGATCAAAACTACAACATATTACAAATTCAGCCGGAATCCATTTTCCGTATGTTTTTTGTGCGGGATCCTTTCCATTTATAAAATATAACATAAAGGAATCTTTTTCCTTTTAATTTGGTTTTATATTAAAATACGGATACGATTTATTTTATATTTTTGGCAAAAAAGAAATAGATTCATTTTTAAAGAGGGATGTTAAAAAGAGGCCGATTTTTGCCCATAAAGATGTAAATAAAAAGAATATCGTTTTTTTTTTTGTAGATTTTGATTTCCTAAATACGATAATAATAATAAAAAGTTGGGGATCGATAGGAAACACCTTGAAAATTGAGCATAAACATGATATATTTGAACAAATTTCAATATTCTTATTTACTTTTCAAGGTATTATACCTCAAGTGTTACAAACTTTTTAATAATTTTATCATATTCAGGAAGTAAAAATCTACAAAAACACTATTTCTTTTACTTACATCTTTTTAGACAAAAATTTGCCCTTTTTTGGGCAAAAAATATTAAAAAAGGTCCGAGTTTGAAGATATTTAAACTTTTGCAATTATTGATACAAAGGATACATGGGTGGGACAAAATGATTATATATAGGTATGTGTAATAAATTATATATTAGGTGTTGGAATTAATTCGTAGCGTTTTTAATGAAAGAATGTTATTTATTTCACATGAGCATTAAAAAATACATTAATGAAAGTACTTCCCATCACTTGTAAAACGCTACGAATTAATTCCAACACCTAATAAATTATATAAAACAACACAAATAGTACAATAAATAGTACAAATAATAATGAGTCAAGGAATTCGTCTTTGTTTTTAATAATTCGACTGATATCTATAGTTAAAATAAATTGAAAAGATAATCGTGTGTTAACAACTAAATCAATTAATTAACTATCAATTATTATATATCAAATATTTGGTTAAATTATATAACGAGTATAAATACTAAAAGCAACTTATGTATAATATAAAATATTTTATAAAAACTTTGTTAATCTTATTGAAATTAGAAAATGTTCTACATAAGCAAGAATTAACAATAGCATTTTATATTAAAAAGTATATTTTAAAAAATATTTCTATATAATGTATCTTTCTACAATTTTAAAAAACAGATATACAATAATTTAGCTTGCAAGGGGAGATCTAGGTATATTTCGTGGATTATGGAAAATTTTATATTAAGATTTAAAGTTTGACGTCATATAATGTAATACGTAATATTTAAGAATCAATGGACTAAAGGATCGAAGTTATAAAATTTTATCGTTTGAAATGGCAGCAATAGTAAACAGTTGGCCATTATCACATATTCAAGACACGAAATAGGTATATCTTTTTTGTTGTTTTTTTCATTAATTTTTTTTTTTACGTTCTTAATTTATCCTATTGCTCTGCAAATTAAAAAGTTTTAGTAATTATTATGTACTATTTAATTAAAACTTAATAAGTAAATACTTATAATAAAACTGTGAACTCCTATATACGATAAAATAACACAAAATTTCAAATCCAAAGTGAAAAATTTAACAAAAATTTGAGATATTATATAATAGATACATTAAAATTAAATATGTACTATTTAATTAAAACTGTAAATTTTTATGTAATAATAAAGTAATCCACAACGTCAAATACAAAATAGAAAATTTAATGAAAATTATAATATTATGCAATAGACATATTAAAATTAAAATCAAGAAATATTTATCAAAGAATTATATACATTGTAGTTTGAAGAGTGATAACTAAAACACGTTATATATAAATTTGCTATATATATATCGTGCGTTATTTCAACAAAAATATAAATGAGACGAACAAACTTTAGCATTTATTAAATGTTTATAATGTTATTAAATGTTTATTTATGAAATATTTATCAAAAAATTAGTACATACAATTAGTACATTTTGATCGTTTTAAATGACTTTTATCTTTATTTTATTTCTATTTTTTATGACAAAGGTTTATAGTTCTTACAAAAATTGTTTTAAAATATGTTTTAATTTTTTTTTCCAGAGTCATTGGATAAATTAGGAACGCAAAAAAAATTTTTTAAAAATAACAAAAGAATTAGTATTACGTAGTTCGTTTTGAACACGATAACGACCATTTATTGTAATTGTCTTTGTTAAATTATACAAAATTGTAAAAATAAAAATTTTTTTAAAAGCGACCAAAGCATGCTAAAGTTTTAAGCTTTAAAACTTTTGTTGTATTTTTTGCCTGCAATAATTTTTTTACCGAATTATCGGTGATCAGAATATTATGAGATAAAAAATTTCATGTCCAGAAATTTTTCGACAGTATGCACAAAATGAAAAATATAAGTAAAGATATAAATAAAAATATGTATAATATAAGAAACGTAACATTCTACGTACAATACATAATAATACATAACATATAAAGCATATAATATATTGATATCTTCCATTTCAAACATTTTATTATTGTTCTAGATACAAAAAAAATTAAAATTACGTATAACAAAACAAAACAATAAATATCAATTTATCAATTAATATTATCAAAGTAGTATCATAATATTATCGATTCAGATGTAAATATTGCATTAAAAATTCTATACTAACACGGAATTTTATTAATATGTAATTATAAAGCAGTATATTTATTATAGTCAAGGTTTTATTCAGCTTTGTGCTGTGTCTCTTAATGCTAAATAGAGTGCATGGAATCAAACGGAGTGTATATTTCTTTGATATTAATGTAGAAAAGGGAGAAACATTTTATATATCTAACGATAAGTATTCGAATTTTTCTGGAATTGAATACGGCACTTGGAAATTGCACAGCCTCTTTATTATCGAAGCGACGTGTTCCATTGAGCTAGTAAGTTTATTATATAAATTTTGTTTGAAATTTAGACATGCATATATCTTAATTAAGTTTTTAAACATATCATAAGGATTTTATTCAAGTTCAAAATTGTATTATTATTATTATTGCCAAAGTTGTTAGGGCAAAAAGAACGCATATGAGCGCGCGCAAATAATTTAATAAATTTTACAGAATGATAATTGTATTGCAAATAAATTTCTTGTTATTAATCATCTGGAAATTAATCATCTATCTATTGTGGTAATGATAAAATAGCCTTCGAAGGATGCAATCTAATTATAAAATTTGTTTCGACATTTCAAAGTCGATTTTTATGTGAAATTAAAACTAATGATAATACTCAGTGTGGTAAGTCGGAAAAAAATGGTAAGTTTAAATTAAACTTTATGAAATGTTACTTATTTATTTGAAAGTTTTTATTTATTTCTTATTTATTGCTTCACGCAAAAAAAAATAGATTGGTACGGCAAAACTATTTCTTACTGCGCGAATTCAACATCTACAACTATAATAAAGATTTGATAGTTTAATAAATAGCTAATGTTATTCAGCTGTCAATTTTGCTACTTTAACATAGAAGATTGACTGTCCGTATTATGACGGATTTGTTGAATCAGTGAAATTATTAGTTTTTTTCCGTATTCTTTGTAATTTAACTTTAATCAATTATGTAACAATTTATTAAAAATAATAATTTGTTAGGATTAACATAAATATTATTTATATTGCTTACTTATTGTTAGACTAGAACAGTAAACGGTGAGATAACCACAATTAATAAATATCCTCACATAATTGGGCTTGTGACAAATAAAACGATATTTTGTGGTGCTACTAAAGGGTGTCTCAAAATGATCTGACATTTTAAATTGCGCGCCATTTTTTTTGCAGCGAACGTAACGTACTAACCTTTAACAACTGGCATCAGGAAGTATTGAGGTTTAGTCATGGAGAATTACACGATTGAGCAACGCATAAAAATTGTGAAAATCCACTACGACGAAGTTTCATGGTCGTGTTATTTCGCGCCGCGGCGATGTGAATTGGCCATCAAGATCGTGCGATTTGACGCCATTGGACTTCTTTCTTTGGGGTTTTCTGAAAGGAAAAGTGTATGCCAATGATCCACAGACCATTCCGGAGTTGAAGGAAGAAATTAGACGTAATTAATGAAATTAGTCCGCAATTATGCCAAAATGTCATTGAAAATTTTGTCAAAAGAATGAACGTTTGCAAACAGAGTCGAGGCGGCCATTTATCGGATATTGTGTTCCACATATAACCTCCATGTACTTTATATTAAACTAAAAACATGTGTACTTTTCAAATAAATAATATGATTTATTAATACATTAAAATGTCAGGTCATTTTGAGACACCCTTTATTTTCTGCTTGTAATATAAATTATTTGAAAAAGTTAATGAAATGAAACTTACATATTTTTTTGTTAATAAAAAAAAGACTTTTTTATGAGAAGTGGTATATATTATTTTTTATTTTTTTTATTTGATCATAAATGTAATATTATATTCTTTACTGAATTGCAATTTTTTATTTAAAGTATTACAAGGGATGAATCTCTTATAATAAAGTAACATTTAATATATTAATATTAGGGATGCATCGGATAACTGAAAAGTATCCTGAGTCCGGCATTTTTTTATTATCCGACTGGATAGTCGAATATCATTAGTATATCCGGGAATATATCTGGTTAAAATTTTATATCATTAAATTGTTGAAACATGAATAGTAAAGAGAGAGAGCATACAGCCACAGCACAAGATGTCTTTAGCGAAAGTCGTATATTTAACATTTTTAAGGTAATAAAGTAAACGTTTCGGTCAAGTCTTGACTATCAGTACAATATGAATGTTATAAAAAAAATGTTACATGTAAAAAATATTGTTTGAGTGTTTGTATAAATTCGCTATTTCAGATGTGACAGTGTATAATATTATACAATTTAGCCTATTCGATTATGAAAAGAACTTTTATGCATAAATTCCTTATTAATTGGATTTTTTTATAAGTTGCTGTATAATTTCCAGATTCCATATTTTGTTGCAGCGATCCTCGCAAGTATAATTCGATGTAATACAAAGTTGTACAGAATTTAATGAAAATTTTGGTGTGTGATAAAAATTATTTGTAATACAGTGAGATAGCAATTTATATCATTAAATTATTGATTTTTCATTATTTAAATGTTCTGTAAATAATTATGCATACTCATAATGCTAGAATACTTTATATTATTGTTGTAAAATTAATTTGTTCTTTTTTTTTGGACATTGTCTCAAACTCCGGTCGGATATCCGGATATTGAATATCCGATTTGAAAAATTATCTTTCCGGATATCCGATCGAATATCGGATATCCAATGTTACATTCTTTTCGAATATCCAGTATCCGGTAATTTTACAATCCGATGCATCCCTAAATTAAATACAATTTAAAACATCGTTTATATGTAAAAAAAAATGAATGTAATGAAGTAAGCTTACAAGCATTTTTTAATATAAGATTTTTACAATGAAATATGAGATATATGTATGTGTAAATTGAAATCGGAGTTTATGCTAAATTTGTAGAAAATACTTTACGGATAGATGATAATACCAAAGGATATCAGTTAATCAAATATATTAGGTGTTGGAATTAATTCGTAGCGTTTTACAAGAGATGGGAAGTACTTTCATTAATGTATTTTTTAATGCTCATGTGAAATAAATAACATTCTTTCATTAAAAAACGCTACGAATTAATTCCAACACCTAATATAATCCATCCTGGATATCAAAGTAACAAAACTGCTTATAATGATATAGCTGTTTGTGAGACTAATAAAAACATCGGAAATAGCGCTAAAGTGGGTCCAGTCTGCTTACCGTTTAAACATGAAAATGATTCATTCATTGATGATATCGTCACTGCGTTCGGTTAGCATTTCCTTAGTATTTTTATAGTTAATAATAATATTATAATAATAATAATAATATAAGGTAATAATAATATAATAATTTGTTTTAACATCATTCAACCTTTAGGCTGGAATTTACAAAAAGTTGGTGACGAGAAAGCGATGAAGCTCTAAAAAGTAGATTTAAATGTAGAACCACTTAAAAATTGCCCAAATAGTAATGACAATAACATATGTACTTTTACTCCGAGAAACGATACGTATCAGGTAAAGAATTAGCTTCTTTACTGTGAATTTAAATGTCAATTAAATGTGCAAAATGTATTATTCAAGAATTGTGATGCAAAACTATCTTTAAGTAACAAATTTCTTCTGTTTCTATTTGTGTGACATAGATGGATGGACCTCTTTTATGGAAAAATCCTGTTATACATGATATAATATTGGTTGGTATTATATCTAGTCATAGTGGCTATTCTTCAGGCACACCTACTGCAAACATGCGTATAGGTGCTTATATCGACTGGATAGTATCTGTAACTCCAGGTAAAAGTCGGTAGAAAGGCGAATCAGAGATATGAAAACTTTATTATAAAAGAGAATCGATGAAATATGTATTGTTTTTTTATTGTAGATATAACATATTGCAAAATTGAATGAGCTTCGTTAAAAAGAAGAATTATTTTAGAAGATTATGGACCTCTGCTGACGCTTTTAAATATATAACATATATCTTGAATTATTTTCGCGATTTTACATTGATATACATATACATGTATAACACATATATGTATGCTTGTATAAATATATGTGTGTATGCATGTGTGTATACGCACGCACGCACGCACGCGCGCAATTTTGTGATGTTTCGAAGATAATAACGTTTCGAAGAAGAATTATAAGTAACTATTACGTTGATTGAGAGTGAAAGTGTCTTTGGATTATGTTATAATAATTTCTTTTAAAAAGAATTTGACCATTTGGATTGGAATAAGAAAATCTTTCAATCTTTCTCACAAAAATTATACTTAGGTTTCATTATATAAAAATTAAAGATGATACCACTTATATACACATTATATTTCATTATTTAATTTGATAGAATTTAGTTTCAGTTGTTCATATCAAATATCTTTTATATAAATGATATAATACATATTATTAGAGTTAAGCAAATAATAAAAATAGTACTTGAATTTTACTTTTTAATTTGGTACAATAGCTTTTTTTCGAAGAGAATATACTTTCAGCATTTTTTCTTGTCTTTTTTTAAAAAGGTAAGTAGGTATGAATTCATATCTAAATGATCTATGTTACAAATCTATAGCATGTTAAACTTAATTTAAACATAAATTTAATAGATTGATAACCTATTTAATTTTTTTATTAAAAACTAATTAAATATACTGTTATACCTAGTAAGAAATGACAATAGAATCGATGTCGAATCGATTGAATGATTTCGACGTCGAAGCGACATCGATTCGACATCGATTCCGTTGTCATTTCCCACTGGATATACGCAGTAAAGTATTATATAAAAATCATTATAAATATAATATTAAATAATAAGTATTAAAAATTAAAAAATCTTTACAAATATAAAATGCATGTAAAACATTTATATATTTGGTTAGGGAAAAAGTCTTTTTATTTATTGCCGATAGATGAAAATCTGGCTGATTTTTTACGTGCCACTATTGTGTAATGTATTAGGTTACATATTGTTGAAAAAAAATGCTATTTCATATAATATTTTAAAATAGATTGATCCTAGATTTGAACGATATCGACATATTCGATCAAATTTGAAAATTAGTGAAAATTGAGATATAACTAAGCAATTAAACATTGATCATAAACAAAAAATCCAAAAATCAGGATAAAGAGTTAGCGTGATAGTATTAATACGCAATCTTAAATCTTTATTTCAAAAAATTGAGAAGATCCTTAAGAAGATTACATTATTACTATTGATCATAAAACCATTTTGAGGCACTTGCGTAAGGCCGGATACACAAAGAAGCTCGATGTTTGAATGTTACATGATCTGATGGTAAAAAATTTAATGAATCAAATTTCCATTTGCAAATTGCTGCTAAAACGAAATGAAATTGAACTTTTTTGAAAAGATTGATAACGGACGATGAAAAATAGGATAACATATGATAATAATGTTCGAAAGGAATCGTGATCGAAACGAGGTGAGGCACCACAAACAATCGCAAAGCTCAGATTGATGCCAAAAAAGGTGATGCTGTGTGTCTCGTGAGACTGGAAAGAAGTCGTCCGTTATGAACTGCTGCCGCCAGGTAAAACGATCTGATCTCTACTGTGAACAACTAATGCGATTGGAGCAATACATTCAGGAAAAGCAGCCAGAATTGATTAATAAAAAAGGCATTGTCTTCCACCATGACAACGCTGAGCTACACACATTTCTGATGACTCGACAAAAATTGAGAGAAGTTTTAATGCGTCCACCATATAATCCTGACTTTGTACGTATGATTACCATTTATTTCGGTCTTTGCAGAACTTCCTTAATGGAATAAACTTAACTTCAAAAGAGTCACAAAAATCTTGGTTTTTTACCGAGAAATCATAGAAGTTCTACACCGATGGAATAATGGTTTTATTCGAAAAATAGCAAAAGGTCATCGAAATACGGCACATATTTGGTTTAATAAAAGGTTTATAAACAATTCAAAAAATATGTTTCAATTGTATACTCTAACTGTCTATCTTGTAAAAAGATTTTTTTCTCTATTCCAATATTTGTTACGTATTTTTTTTTATATATAAAACGATATAAAATACATTTTTGTTACATGATATTTACTTATTAGTTATAAAAATATAAATTAAATAATTCTTTTATCTCTCTCTCTCTCTCTCTCTCTCTCTCTCAAAATAAAATATTATTAACTTTTCATTGATTGATTAGCAAATATTTATACTATTAATCTTATTTTTTTATTATTTTGTTTATAAATTTTGGATAATATAATTTTGGATAATATATAATTCCTTGAAGAGGAAAATGGAAAATGTTAAAAAATTGAAAATTTCGATAGATACATTAAAAAATCGGAACTTTTTGTAATATTTAGAATATAAGAATGAAAAAGCAAAAAATGAAATTTTATTTTATATTACAGAAACAAAAATTCGTTTTCTTTCTGCGCTTTTTATCAATGCTTTGATTTCATAGTCCTCTTAAATCTGTGCACTTAGAGAAGATAAAATAAATACATGTCTACATTTTACAGAAATAAAGAAGAGAAAATACTAACGATATATAGTGTAATTAAACGATAGAAAGTGTAATTAAAAGTAACAGAGTTATTAACTATTTAATTTTCAGTTAATAGGTAGATTCAGGAAATTAAATCCTTGTGCAAAGCTCGAGTTGC